GAGGAGCAAGCCACGCACCAGGCCACCCGCACTGACGGAACGTCAGCGATCGCGGCACCGCCGCGCACGATGACAGCACCCGGCGCCGGCAGCCAGGTGACGCCGACACACCCCGGCGTTGGGTGAGGCACGGCTCCTGGCCATGCGACCCTGCGCGAGGATGACGTGGCATCTACGAGAATCGGCACTGGCCGGGCGCTTAGCCATGCAGCGGCCGGCGGGTGCCGAGCGGCGCCGTTTTTGCCGTTTCCAAGGGCGGCCACTCCTCAGCGCCGGCTGTTAAGGCCGCCCTGCGGAGCCACCGGCCTGCTGCATCAGCATAGCCGGCTGGCGGTGCGGCACAGCCGGACCCGACCGCGGCGCACAGCACGCGAGCATCCAGGAAACAAAGCCGATGGCTTTTCCACGCCGACTCGGCACCATCGGCAGCCTTGAAAACCGTGCTCCCCGCCGGACGTGAGCCGGCGAAAATCCGCCGATCATGGCAGTCACAGTGATAGCCGCCAACATCGCTACTTTTTGTCAGCACCCGACCTCCCTGTCAGTACTTACTCCCTCAACCCCCCCCCCCCCTCCCCTCCATTTCCGCGGCGTCGACTCCAGCAGGGGGCGAGGGTCGGCTCCCGGGGTCCATTCTCGATCCCCCTCACTCCTCCACTCTGAACATGCCAAACCCCGGCGAGGGGACGGAAGAGAGCCTGCCCTGCGTCCCACTGCCCGTCTGTGAGACCACGCCGCGTCAGCTGACCGGGGGGAGAGGGAGGGAAGAGGGCGGGGGGGGGGGAGCAGGTGCCGGGACGCGTCGGCCGGGCCCGCCCAGCGGCAGCCTTGGGATGACGGCGCCGCGTCCCTACGCCGCTCGTTCATCAGCGGAGCCAGCGGCCGTCCGGCACGCCACGGCATGGCACGCCAGTACAATGCACAATACGCCCGATACCCTCAACATCCTGGCGCGCTCACACGCGGCGCGCGGTGTGGGGGTGCAAGGGCACACGACCCGGGCCTTGTTAACCGTGGAAATCCGGCTGCCTTTTAACGATATGCTTTCTGGACATGATGGGGCATACGGATAGCCAAGTTTAGGGCGGAAATTTCGCCGATCATTCAATGATACGCCCACTAACAACCGACGCGCCCTTTCACTGCAACAGCAGGGACACCGAACCGCAAAGGAACCCTTCCGCGGCGATCGCCTCGTCGGCACGGTGGCGGTGGCACGGTCCCCGGTGGGCGACGCTGGGGGGGTGAGCTCCGGCCGTCGACAATGCCGATGGCATCTGGAGGTGTCCGACCACAGCGCCACCGGAAGACTTGTGAACGACTGGTGTTCATTTGTCTCGGTGTGTGGACGCCAACGGAGCGGCGTTCGCAGAGGCTTGTTTGCGCATGCCGAAGGCTGGTCGTGGGTGGGCCGACCCGGTGGGTGGCGAGCAGGGGATCGCCATTCCTCTCGCCTGTCTTTCTTCGCATTGTTCGAGGACTGCACGTTGATTTGTGGCGCGGACGGGCTGTTACCGTAGCTGACCACAGCCTAGGCCGCTCCGTGCCTGCATACCAGGCGACGAGAATCGACCGCGGTCTGTTAAACCACATACCACCAGCTTCCGAGCTGGAACAGAAGCTCATCCGCAGTCATTTCGGTAGAGAAATAGCTGCTGACAGGAGGCTCCAACAGGCCGTAGAAACCCCATCTAACCCAACAGCCACCGAGCCAGCGATGCCCACAGTCGAGGCTACCAAGCAGAGCAGGCCGCTCAGGGACATCGATCGACGGTCATCCTTGGGGCTGGCGCCCAACAACTGTGCCCCGTGCGCAACACGTCTCGCTGCGCCACACGCATCCCACGCGGCACGTGTTCGCGTCGAGCACGTGAGCCGACGCCACGTGTGTGAGCGCGGCGGCGCGAGCCGGTCGGGGCCGCGGCGGCGCGCGGCCGCCCGCCGCCCCAACAAAGAGCGGTCGGTGAAACCGCGCCGTTTCTCCCCGTTTCACCGGGCGGCGGCTGCGGCGTGGCCGACCCCCGGCCGGCGGATCGCCGGCGCTCGCCGCCGGCCTAAAAACGCCAAGGCCTCGGCGGCCCCGTTTCCGCAGCTGGGAGTGCGGCGGCGGCGGCGGCGGCGGGGTCGGTAACGCCGCCGAGGCCGCCACTCGCTCCAGTGGGGGGAGACGGGACGCGCGCGGACCGTGAGGGGGGGGGGGGGGGGCGGGCGCAGGTCGGCCGGCCGGGCAACGGTCGCCGCTGACCCACATTGGCGCGCCGCCGCCGGCGAGGTCGGACCCACGCACATTGGCGCGCAGAAGTTGGGCGATCGATGCCCGCCGGCGCGCCGGCCCCTACGCGTGCGAGGTGCGTCGCGCGCTGCGCCGTGCCAGAGAGCGTGGCCCGAGGGAGAGGGTCCTGCGCGGCGTGGGAGCCACCTTGCACGCGGCAGGACTGTGCCGGCTAGCAGTGGAAATGGGGACGAGCCGCGACAGCTGCTGCTCCGAGCAGACAGCTTAGCCCGTGGCGATTGATCCGACACGTTCGCTCAGCCCCGACGCCGTGCCTGCGCTAACTCGCCCGCTGTGGGCAGCCAACACAATGGCGTCACACAAGCAGCTCAACAGCCCTGACCCGTTTCGCATCACCACTGAATCACGCACGCGCCTCCGGCGCTCTGCACGGCTTTGCGCCCTTGCACGGCAGCCGCGGCGGTGAAGCAACGTCCGCTCAGGTCGCTACAGCGGCGCGCGATCCCAGACCCACCGGAAAACAGCGCCGGCCGCAGCGCCGCCGCGCACGTGCTGACAACCCTGAGCGGCGGCGTTCGCGAGGCCCAAACGTCGAGCTGGACGAGTTCTCACACGACGAGTGACGGAGCGTGGGAAACGGCCGGCCGGAGTGAGCTCGACTCGGGCTTGCGACAGGTCTGCTTCAAAACCTCGACAGGTCAAGTGGAAACTTCACGGGGGGCACCGGCTACCTACGTACAAACCCCACGTAGACCTGATTCCAAGTTGTGAACTGATGACGTAATGTGAAACCAGCTAGTGGACTGCGGGACAAGTGACCTGGACCAGCCATCCACTCCAGGAGGTCGTCCCCCACAGCGCCGCCCGAGCCAACCGCATCAAACGCTGCCACCGCGTTTGCGATCCGCTACTGTTTCCGCCCGCCGCCGGCGCGGGCGGGCAGCTTGGCGGCGTTCTCAACCTGCGTGAAAGCACCAGTTTCCTCGGCGGTGGGCTGCGAGTTCTCGTTGGAGGTGGGCTGGCGGGCTGGAGACGCGCGAGACAGCCATCACCGACGAGGCGCGAGGCTGCGCGCACGCCTCGCTCACCATCGCCCCTTCTGTCGGAGATCGGACGCATGCGGGCAGCCAGGTGGGGCGTCCAGCGCGGGACACCAGTGGCACAGAGGACCCAGCCACGGCGTACAGAACACGGCGACGGAGGTCACGGAACACAGGCTTGAAGGGACCCGGAGTAAAAAGTCACCAGGGACATCGGGCGTCCGACTAACCGAGGCACGGTATATTTCGGCAGCAGAGCACAGGTCACAGGGTACGGAACAAGGGATGTGTTACGGTCAAAAGGGTACAGCAAAAAGGGCCACGAACCCGGATCCGGCCCGATAGGGATAGGTCACATATCGAAGGAGCAAATGGCCGGAAGAAGCACCGAGTGCCGCGTAAGGAGCCGCAGAAGCACCGCCTCATACAGAGCACAGGGTCCATAAGGGGACGGAAGCGCGCAGCACCCGGTGTGAGAGCGGGACGGAGGGTCACGCTCAGCGCGCAAAACCGCGTGAAAACAGAATGAAACGCCGAGTCCAAGAGAGCACGGCATCCAAAAGGTCGAGCGCTGGTTCAAAGGAGAAAGAACACTTGGTCCAAGGGGCACAGCCACCAGGCCACGGGACGAGGAACACCGGGTCCTCCCGAGCGGTAAGCGCCAGATTGCCAACATCACACGGCATTTGATATGCCAAGACCTCCTTGCGATTCCACGGCCCTGGTAAAAGTCCGCCGCGCCCGCTGATCCAGCAGCGGTCGCCGGCCAATCAAATGAAACGCTGGACGAGACGGACCTCGAATGGCACGCGAGGGTTCGAGCCCATAAATCGTCACGCATGTAATGGGAGCTACCACCAGTAATGTTCACTAGGGCCTGGAACCAAGTTGCCACAAACGACATCCACTATATGGGACTAAATGCGACCGAGTTAAAGGGACATCTGCCGTCCAAAGGCAAAAAGGCTGAAGTGTCATGTCCAAGCAATGGCTCATAGCCTGCTTGTGAACGGCAGACATACGAAAAAACTTGTGACAGCTTCCCATTTACATGGAGCCTCTCGTTTGGCATCCGTACTCTGTCTTTAAGCTGCGAAATTTCGTTTTCGCTTCAACCACAGGTCCATTCAGAGTGGGTGCGCTATGGTACGGGCCGTGCCGCGTACGTGAGTGCGGTACAATAGTACATGTCAGTACAGTGGTACAAGCAGCACGATATAGTGGTGCCCGCAAGGAGCGACACGTTACGGCAGCTCTAGAAAGTGTTGGAGAACGTTTCAAGTACCACAGTGACGAGGGAGGCCTTCAAAGACACGAAGTTTATATCCATCCTACGCTGTTTTGAACAGACATCGACTATGGTCAATGGGCAAAACATAAAAGGCGTTCGGGTATTTCACTGGCATTTCACATTGCACAACCACGCGTGCGTTTGAGGAGTTTTGATACCACAGATGCAGATGATGATGTCGAGAAGTCCGTGGATTTTGAGTGCGTACAAACAAAGGAACAATCAAATGCACGTAAGAGCAAATGTGTGCCGGATTTCTAGCCAAAACATGGGGTCCAGATAGGTTTGCACTCCCCACTATCCGCCAGTCACGAGAACATGTGTACGGTTC